TCAGCCATCGTATCGAAATGCAATATGAATCCGCAGATTCGTGATGATGCGAAGAAGGCTTTGGGTGAGATTAAAAGTTTGATTACTAGGTATGTTGAACATGTTAAATCTGTAAATTTTCGTGAAGCTTGTAAAGAAAGCTTATTAAATTCAGTCAAGCAAATGAAATCGTATGCTAATGCTGTGGCGCCATCTGTTGGGACAAATCAGACTGATTCAGATTGCTGTGTTTTTGTGAGTGCCCAAAACTGTACATCTGATGAAGTTAAAAAGCTCCTTAAAGCAGAAATCAACCCTCTGAAACATAAAATTGGAATTAGCAATATTCGATCAGTTCATAACAATAAAGTAATGGTGAAATGTGCTTCGGGATATGATAAAGAAAAACTGTTTACTGCTTTGCAGGGAGACTCATCTATTTTGAATCCCTCTATTCCAAGACAAAAATATCCTACAGTTTTACTTAAAAATGTGCCAAACAGCATTAGTAATGATGAACTGTTAAAAATTATTGAAGAACAAAATCCTGAAATTACTGTGAGTGAAGAGACTTGGAAAGACGTTAAAGTTCGCTTTACTTTAAAAAAGTTTCAACGTGAGAGAAGCGTGGTTATTGAGGTGCATCCTTCTGTATGCAAGCGTATTTTAGATTTTGGACGTATTAAAGTGATGTGGAATATGTGTAAAGCTGAAGACTGTTGTTTTAAATGTTTAGGCTACCACAGAAGTCTTGATTGCAGAAATCCCTTGGCTTGTTATTGCTGCTCTGGTGAGCATAAGAGTTCAGAATGTGATAAAAAAGAAGTGCAAGTGTGTATTAATTGCATAAGATTTAATAAAAAGACGAAAAATGCAACTAAGAAAGTTGATGTAAATCATAAGCCATTTTCTGGAACTTGCCCCAGCCATACATTTATGACGCATCTTGCAGCTTCAAAAATTTATTATGGGTAAGTCCGACAATTTGTCTGTTTCTTTTGTACAAATAAATTTGCACAAATCAAAACTTGCTACTCAGCAACTTATTTTATATATGGAAGCAAATGACACTGATGTCGCACTGATTCAGGAGCCGCACTTTTATAAAGGTGTTCTTCCTGGCTTTCCAATAAAATATAAAGTTTACTATGATTCCGAAGCAGAGGTTGTCAAGTCTGCTGTTATTGTTCGCAACCAGAATCTTTCTTCTTTTTTAGACTTAAATCATACAGTTTATAATACTGTTGTTTTAGATGTAAAAATCAATGGATCTGACTTGACTATTTGTTCCGCTTATTTCGAGCCCCAAACTAATATTGACATAGAACTATTAAAAATTTCACAAATTTTAACGATGAAGAAACCATGCAATTTTTTATGTGGTATGGATTCGAATAGCAAATCAGCGATTTGGCATAGTCCTATTACTGATGCTAGAGGAACGAAACTTAGCGATTTTATTAGTGCGAATCATTTGTTTCTACTTAATGAAAATCGCAGACCTACTTTCTGTTCCACGCAAGGCTCGAGTTATATTGGCCTTACGCTTTGTAGCTTAGGACTGCTGCCATACGTTCAAGGTTGGGATATCTCTGAGAAAGATTCTCTTTCTGACCATAAAATGATTATCTTTGAACTTGTTTTATGCCGTCCGATTATATCTTCTAATTTGTGTACTTTTAATTTAAAAAGAGCAAACTGGTTTTTATTTACTGAACTTTGTAAGAGAGAATTGTGTAACTTGAATATCCTTCTTAACAGTTGCTCTGATTGTACGCATTAGAAAATGTTGTATACAGACTTTCTACCGTTTTTAATTGTGCTTTACTTTCAATTCCGATGAAGAAAAGTAAGAAGAATGGGGTCCCTTGATGGTCTAAGGAAATTGATTGTTATAGAAAGCATGTAAATGCTGCTAGGCGTAGATTCCAAAAGAGAAAGAAACTGTCTTCTTAAAAATATTTATAAAATTAAATATTTCGAATTGCGGCATAAGTACAAGGCTAAATTAGCTAATGCTAAGCTTGAGTCGTGGAGAAATTTTCTCTCAACTATTACTGTTCACAATGTCTGGAAATCTATATATAAGTATGGGGTTAAGACCAATTTTGTGAAAAGGATTGAGATTTCGGAAATTAAACTCCCGGATGGCAGTGTTACTTCGAGTTTGAGTGATACAATTGTTGCTATAATGACAAAGAATTTCCCAAGAGATAATGCACGTGATGATAGAAATTCTCATAGAACTATGTGCACTGAGTCTGATGGACCTTATATTTCTTTTATGGACTGTCCGTTCTCTACTTCAGAAGTTAACAGTGTTATTAAAAATCTCAAGAACAAATCATCTGGGCTTGACTCTCTTTCTAATGAATTGGTACAGCACTTTCACGTGGTGGATAGCACATTTCTACACAGACTTTTTAACCTTTGTTTACAATTAGCAGTTTTCCCAGCACAATGGAAGAGAGCTCGGGTTGTTTTGATTCCTAAAACGTTAGATACCAGAACCCCTTATCTTGATAATATTAGATGCATTAGTCTTTTGCCTACTTTGGGAAAATGTCTTGAAACTCTCTTCTTTAACAGAATAAATTGGTATTTGAGACAAAAATGCTTTTATAATGATTCTCAGTTCGGATTTACTCCTCGGAAGTCCGCTGAAGATGCCATTATTCGCCTTTGTAATATCTTGCAGTGTGCAAAGAAAATGAAGTATACTACACTTCTCATTTTCCTGGATTTCAAAGGAGCTTTTGACAATGCTTGGTGGCCATCTATCTTAAAAATTTTAAAAGATGCTGGTATACCACATAATATCTATAACCTTCTTAAAAGCTTCTTAAATGAGAACTGCTGAGCTTCAGCTTGGGAACGAAGCTAAGGTTTATTCTCTAGAAAAAGGCTGTCCTCAAGGCTCTGTATCCGGACCTACTCTTTGGAACACAATCATAAATGATCTTTTAAGTCATCTCGACGGTTGTTTAAAAATTGCGCTTGCAGACGACTTACTGTTAATTTTCCAAGGAAGGATTTTGAATAACATTCTTTTGAGAGCACAAGAAGTTCTAGATTTTGTCTCCAGTTGGGCGATTTCTCATAAACTCACTTTCAATCCTTCAAAAAGTAAAGCTATGCTTGTTCCCAGTACGTTTGATGAACAAAATATTGCTTCTTTGATGCTTGATAATTCTCCATTGGAATTTGTAGAAAATGTTAAATATCTTGGTGTCATTCTTGACCAAAAATTAACATGGAAAAAGCACATTGAATTCCTTTCTGCTAAATGTGAAAAAATTATTAATGGCTTTCACCGAGTTGCCAAAAATACTTTTGGAGTAAGCTACGATGTTCAGAAACTCATGTATAAGCAGTGTATTGTACCTTTCATTTCATACGGCTGTCGTGCTTGGGGACATGTTCTTGCCAAGAAGGTTAACAAAAGAAATTTAAGAGAGATTCAACGGAGAATTCTTCTTCGTATTATTAGTGGTTACAGAACCTTAAGCTATGAGGCTACTTTTGTTCTTGCAGGAGTTCCACCTATTGATTTTGAAATTGCATATAAGAATAATATTTTTGAGTCATTGGCAACTCATGCTTCGGAAGACTGTATTAATGGAATTGTCCCCTTCACTGATCTTTCTCATCCCGCTTCTTTAGAACCCATAAATTTCTGCGATTATAAAGAAACTGCTGAAATAAGTTTTCATATGGTTTTCTTTACAGATGGCAGCAAGATGAACAACAAGGTTGGCCTTGCATTTGTTCTTTTTGAAGGCCATTCTGAGATTTGTTTTCTTAGACACCGTATACGGAATGAATGTACAGTTTTTCAAGCAGAACTTCTGTGCATTTATCTTGCCATCAAATGGATCCAGGATCATGGGACAACATCCTCGAAGTACCTTATTTGTTCTGATTCTCTTTCTTCTCTTCAACTTTTGAACAGTATTACCAGCTGCGATAAATTAATTATCGAAACCCTAGTAACTGTTAGTTCACTTAGAATTAGAGGTATTGATATCTGCTTTGCTTATCATGGTTTCTACGGAAATGAAAGAGCTGATTTCTTAGCTAAAGATGCCTTAAATTTACCCATTGATATCAACATTAGCATTCCAAAGAGTTATTGGAAGTCCTTTCATTATAAAAAGCTTTTAGCTATGTGGAATGAGGAATACATTTCATCTTGTAATGCTGAAGTCACCAAAAAGTTCCTTCCTTCTATTTACCATAGACTGAATTCCGAGTCTTTCCTCTCCTTAAATTTTAAAGTGTCTCAGTTTTTATCTGGTCACGGTAAATTTGGAAGTTATCTGTTTCGTTTTAATCTACGATCAAACAATTTATGTGAATGTTCAAAAAGAATTCCTCAGGATGTGGAACATTTGATTTTCTCATGCCCTACATTTGATGGCCCTAGATTATGCTTACAGAACGATTTGAAAATGTTCGGAGTGACTTGGCCAGTGAACTTATCTGTTTTTGTGAAGTCCAGACTGCTGTTCTCTGCTTTTGTTCGATTTATTTATGCAAGTAATTTTTAATGTTTATTTATACATGTAACCTTTAATGTTCTAATTAACTTACTTCTGTAAGCCCCGTGTTGTACATATGTGGTGCACGGGGAGTCTATGTTCTCAAAGGAAAAAAAAAAATAAGAAAAACTGTGGAAAAAAAACCTGTAAAAATAGTCACCAAAATTATGAACAGCTGTTTTAAAAATTACACAACCCCTTACCGTTTACGTGCATAAAAAATTTAAATCACACGAATTCAAAGACTTTGCAATTATAAAAAATCATTAAATTTGAAGATTATAAATTGGCAGAACTCAATTTCAACCACAGGTTTAAAAATTCCTAAATTTTGTCATGTTTAAAAATTTTAACTGGTGTTATTCCTCAACCAAAAACTTTGAATTATTTGATTTTCTTGTTAATTTCACAAAGGTAAACAAACACATTTTTAACTCCATAAATGCATGACATTTGAAAAGAAAATAACATTGCACTTACACTTTCTCAAGCACAATTCCTTTAGCATGAGAAGCACCTCCAAAGGGATTAGCCTTCCATCGAGTTCCTAAATGTGCTTTCTTGTAATCTTTATCATGCCACCGTTGATCTCGACGATGGTCTCTGTGTTTACGAGCAGTGCGCAGACCTCTAGGTTTGCCTAAATTCATAAAATTTTACCTTAAAACGTAGAATGAAAGATTAAGACAGAACTGCTAGAAAATAGGCTAAATCCTCAACTTATATTACACACTACATTTTTAAAAATCTAGACCTAGGTCTGTCAAAATTTAAAAAATTTTACATCAAGACACAGAATGAAAGATTAAGAGAGAACTATTAGTACATAAGTAATCTAAATCCTTATTACAAAGAATACAACTCGAATTTCTGACTATCTCGCATTCAACTCATTCCCTATGAAATTCATAGTATACATCAGCCGAGCTTTGAGTAATTCTGACTTTGCAATACATTTCAAGTGCAAAGATGGAAGCTCAAGTCCGTTATTTCCACCAGAAGTCGACTTCATAAATGCTTTTTTTTAAATCAGCAGCAGAAGTAGATGTTTATCACAGATTCATTAAAAAAGACAAAATATGGATATATGCAGATATTATTTTTAATGTAACACTGGTTAGTGCATTTCAAAACGACCCCAAAGTTACGCAAGCAGGATTACTACATGCAGCTCATTAATACTATTCTTTCCGAATTTATTTCTATATTTTTTTAGATGCATAATTGTTTCTGGTGCATAACCACGATCTCTTAATTTTGCTACGCAATACTATTAAAATTTTACAAAGAATGTACGTATTAGCCAACAAATGGCAATTAAATTTAATGTAGAATTATTCGTCCCCTTAACTACAAGATGGGGTCGACATTAATACTCGAAAGGATTTTAAACTTTACAATGAAAGCAATGGGCCAATAATAATAGTTAATCTCGGTTAATCCTTATAGATTACTACATAAGTACTAATGCAAACAACATATTTAAAAGTAATTAGCCATTCGCTAAGATGGAAAAGTTCCGTGACAATTTTTTCAACAAAAAGCGATACAACAACGCGTTTCAATGATACTGAATTTACTGAAACAGTTAAATGGAAAAGGTAATAAATGAGGTATAAATTGCTATGTTAAGCCTAGAGGATCCACGTGGATTGCAAAATAGTAACACTCATAAATTCACCAGAGTAAATCCATACAAATTAAACCTATGTTAAGGACATATTTTAATCCAAAATGCTTTAAAAACATACTATTAGTTATTACTTAACGATTTCACGCTTTGAACTCATTTTCGACAAATCGCGCATTATTAATATTACATGTCACATCTGTGTCTTTCTAATACTAAAATAATAATTGACGAGATAGTACTTACCCATGTTTCAGAGATAGAATTAATATAACCAATCAACTCAATCAATTTTTAAATGAAATTTGCACGCCAAAAACTCCCAAACGTGGACAGCTCTACAAATGGCACCGCCAGGAATGGATGTTTACATTCTGTTGCCATCCTCGAATCAAATATCCATACTTCGAAAAAACTTAAATGATTTGTTTTGAAAATTTTAACGAAAAAAAATTATTTCATTTGTTTTCATAAAAATGATACTAAAATAATTTCTGAGAAAATTCTGAATGTACAAGGAAGATAACGAACGTTTATTCATGAAAGTGGGTTCCTGAATGGGGGTATTTTTATTATTCAATTCCGTTCAAAATATCAATATGCTGAAACTTTTACACAAAAAATTCAGAAAATTTTTTATTGGTGAGAATTATTCAGTGTAAAAATAAATCTTATAATACAAATCGATCGAATATCGACCGTTTACATATTTCGATTTTGTACGACTTTTAAATTCGGGTTGTCGCTTTTAAATTGAGAGTGACATGAAAGATGGCTGAGTCTAACGAAGTGAGCGTGGTATGTTCAAATATAAGTTATATATATCAAACGAAAGGTTATACTATATCATTAAGCGTGATTATGTCTTATAGTTATACGTTATTTCATGAACGTAGAAATATATGAAACAGAGTAAATGCGAGATTTTCTATCTCCTTTTCAACACAAGAAACATGTAAACAAATAACACAACAATTTAAATTTAAAAAATAATTTATGTGGCATGGCTGTTATTTGTATTAAATCCGTTTAGAGTAACTATTTAGACCGCTAACTAACTGTTCAGAGTATTGCAGTCAGGTACAATAAATATAAATGTAAATAAAATACAAACATATATTTTTAAACTTTCTTCCTTTTCCAAGCTTTGCAGAAGTACAAGTGCTATCTATAGACTAACACCAATATAGTTCTTGAAATTCTTAGTTCTTTTTTTTTTTTTTTTTAATTATTTTCCAGAGCTTTTTAATGAAAACCTGAAGTTATGAACAATTTAAAGACTGTAAAATGAGGCAACAACGTTGATTACTATCCATTTAAATAAAACTCAAGCAGCTTATGAAATAATTCTCAAAAATGCTAGTTGATTGCAAGGCATGCCAATTTAAAATAAAATTTTGGCAAAAAAATCAAGCTTAGCTTGACATAGATTTTATATTAAACTTGAATTTTGGAATTAAACATAACATTGTTTTTGATATGAAATTAATTAATACCTGATCATTTGATTATTTTGACATGCAACTTTTATGCTGATATTTTTCTATTATATTCTATGGCCCACCAATGGCCGAGTGGTAAAGTTGTGGAACACTAGTTTATTTGGTCCGAAACAGGATTCTTGGCGAACGGTCTTGTGCATGGACGTTTTTACTTTTCTACTCATGTGTAACATGTATATGAGTCAGTTTTTCTTAGAAAGGTTCTTCATAAAGGCATTCCTCCTTTTAGGTAGATAGCTTTGAGTGTTTTACCATAATCAAATAAATCAAAGTATTCAAGCAGCATAAAAACATTATATTATAAGTATTATCCATTCAAACATCAGCAATTTTAATAATAATTTTTAACCATTTGATTGTTTACTGCTTTGATGTTGATTTTTATTTGATAATGAATTGACAACTTTTTGTGAGGGTGTGGATAATTGGAAATTACTATCAAGGATTTCAAGTTTACTGGCTCTTGAGGCAACTGTTAATTTCAGGGAATTTTTTTTAATTCACGAATAGGTACTGCAAACTAAATTTTTATCAGTGTAAAATATGACCACTTACTGTTGTGTAATATAGATTAAGATAATATAATAATTACTATAGATCAATTTTATTAAATAGATTATTAACAAATAATTTTAAAAAATATTCCTCAAGTAAATCACACCAGCTAGTTGTAATTTTTTGTATAACGCATTAAATTTAACTATTCTATAATTTTAAATTATATCTGAAATAAAAAAATACAAATATTTTTCTAATTAAATAAATAATAGACAAATGCTCATATTAACTATTTTATAAATTTAAAATATATCGGAAATAAAGTTATACAATATTTTTGTGATTAAAGAAATAATGAATGAATGCTCATTTAGCTGCCTTATAAATATATTAAGTAAAAATTTTATATTTTTAAAATATAAAGGTTGGAATTGGTAAATAAGAAGTTAATTTATTAGGATGAAATGTGCCAAAATCTATATAATGAGCATCTAAAAAATGGCCTAAAATATCTGACCGATTACTAAAACAAACAATGATTTCAAAAACGATATTGCAGTCTCTAAGAAAAGAAACGAATTTCAGTGTGTAAACCTGAGTCTAATACTGCAAGAAAGAATTTACATTAAATAGTTGACATGTGATGATGAGTTATGAAATTAAATGAAGTAAATCTGTATGACTCAGTGTGAGGAACCATTTAGCTTTACTGCTTATTTGTTATGGTCTGGAAGTGCTACTTACTGATCCACAACTTTGCTTTTATAGTTGTAATTAACTATAAATGCATTGCTTGTACAGTTGTAGTTAACTATTACTTCGGTTGATCTTTACATTATGGTAACTTGGCGATTTTTTGGCGAAAATTTGGCAACCAACTCTCCTACAGCAACCCTCTATTTTTTTCCCCGCCGCCATTTTGTCTTCACGAAGTAAAGACATGTTTCTTTTCTTTTTATCTACTGAACACTTCTTCCAACGATCTACTAGCCGAATTACACTTATGCTAGAAATTTTATCAAACAAAACTGCTTAATCATGACAAATATTCACTGCAAAATTGGGAAAAAGTGCACAATACCATACTCCTTACGCGTTTTTCAAAATAACACATACACATAAACCATGTACACGCCGACTTATTTTTACTTAAAAAAACATCCCAGAATTGCACAAAAATGGCATTGCGCACACTCTTCACTATATCCATGTACACTGCTTTTTTCTCATAAATTAGAAAAATTTCACGAAAATACATGACAATTTTCTCAATCTTTAAACCCGGTAAAAAGAACATATATGAAATTACCTGATCGCGAAAAGTATTTACCCTTTACAAATATGAACATTTCCACATATAAAATAAATAAAATATCCAAAAATTTTTACCTCTAAATCATCTATTACATTATACACACGTCACCAACGAATTCATACCGCAAGCATTACAAATACTTAGTATCAAATATTTAAATTATTTCCATGCATGTTTATTTCAACTTAAACGTATACCAAATTCCTACAAACATAAAATTCACAAAATAACTATCATTTAATTAAAATATCACTAAACCATGTACACGTCGACTTATTTTTACTTAAAAAAACATCCCAGAATTGCACAAAAATGGCATTGCGCACACTCTTCACTATATCCATGTACACTGCTTTTTTCTCATAAATTAGAAAAATTTCACGAAAATACATGACAATTTTCTCAATCTTTAAACCCGGTAAAAAGAACATATATGAAATTACCTGATCGCGAAAAAGTATTTACCCTTAACAAATATGAACATTTCCACATATAAAATAAATAAAATATCCAAAACTTTTACCTCTAAATCATCTATTACATTATACACGTCACCAACGAATTCATACCGCAAGCATTACAAATACTTAGTATCAAATATTTAAATTATTTCCATGCACATTTACTTCAACTAAAACGTATACCAAATTCCTACAAACATAAAATTCACAAAATAACTATTATTTCATTAAAATATAATTAAATTCAAAAACACTACTTAAAATATAAATGAGCACATACATTAAATTAATAAAAATTACCTTACAATCCTAATTACTTTAAACTAAATCATTGCTAATAAAAATTTTCCCAATAATACCAAATTCCTTTCCACCTTACATTTAGAACGATGCATAAAAATAATATCCTCAAATAATTAAAAATACTAACTTACCTAATCTTCTTCAGAATCTTGATTACGTGGCAGATACACTTTTCTAATTCATTCAATAAAATTATTGAAAGATTTTTTTCTGCGAATTTTTCCTCCATACTTCCTCCGCTAAATAAAAAGCAAACTTCTCTTTATCACAATGCCTAAATACCCATTTTGAATTCACTTTAGTTAGGGCCATGGGATCCAAAAATTAAACAACACTGTTTCACACAACACAGAATAAAGCTAAATACAAAATTTCGACATTTTTTCCCGATTTCCCCCCTTTTCCGATTAAAGAACCGTAATTCGTCCATTAATATCACATGACATATCCCATGATCTCTCATTTCCCTCACGCAAAATAATGCGTAATCGGAACTGAGTACTGCTCACATTATTACCAAAGTCCCAGGTAGTAACCTTTATCGCCTCCAAAATGTCGCCAAACTACCAGTTACCATATTGTAAAGATTAACCATTACTTCTTGGCACTGTCCACCAGAATTCCATCATTAGTTGTACACATGTAGTCATTCACTAAAATAGTCTGTTATTTTAAAAAGGCAGTTCAAGGTCATAGTGTGGCTAATATATAAGAATTTGAGGAAAATAAATAACTTTCTTATGTTTTATTTTTTATATGTGTATAAATATTAAAGTATTCGTATTGCATAAAATGGGAACCAGAATCAAGGTTACCAAGTGATTTAGAACAACAGTTGTATGCCTTCATGAAAATATGCTGCTAATGCAAAAGTGCTGCATGTTGTTAATATTTTATCCAGAATTACAATAATTAAATATTGCATTTTTATTCTTTTCTTGGTCATACAAACTAAAAATATTTTAAAACAAATAGAATTGAAAAATTAAATACTTCCAGTTTTTATTATGATATGACATGTTAATCTTTATTTGCAATACCTAATGAGACCGAAGATTCGATACTCTTCTGTTATCAGGATCGGATTCAGAAATGTATCTATCTATGTATTTATTTATGTATGGGTGTATGTGTTCATGTATGCATGTACATGTGTAGTATGTATGTATACACACACATATAGACACATACACATGTACACAAGCGCATACATACATACATTTCTGAATCTGGATCTGATAACAGAAGAGTACCTAAGATTCTGTCAAAAAAGTAGTGTTGAATTCAAATTTAAGAAAGGACCATGTGCAATGCTTACAATGTTTTGGAAGATATTTCTAACCTTGTTCTGTTTGTGTTTTTTATTTAAATATTTGTGATAAATTAAGACATTTTCTTTAATATCTTAGGATTCAGATAGTTTTCTGAAGGAAGAGTTACTGCATGTTGAAGAACTTCTTGTTAGCAGCAGAGAGGAATGCATTGATGTTGCTGCAAAGTATCAAAATTTAAGTGCACAGGTCTCTATGCATTATTTTTACTTCCCAATGGAAACTAGATTTACAGTTTTGTATTTATGTAATTCAGTAAATAGATATATGAAGATATGGATAAAAGTATATTCTAGGGTATCCCTTGGTGAAACTGGGTGATTTTTGGCGGCACATAGATACCGAGTTTGTGCAATTCTTTGACCTATTACTTTGGCTTGCATATGCGGGAAAAATTGCCGCTACACAATGCCAAAATAACATGACAAAGAATTGCACAAACTCGGTATCCATGTACACATCGACCACTTACAAAAAGAAAAAAAAAAAAAAAAATAACCAAATTGCACAAAAATGGCATTGCCACTCCCTTTGTCCATGTACATGCCGACCTATTTTCACTTAAAAAAAAATCCAAGAATTGCGTACTGCCTTCACTTTGTTCATGAACACATCGATATATTTTCACTTAAAAAGTCAAAGGAGCTCCCAGTTCTACAATACAGGCAAATAAAAAATACATAATCCCAATAAGCTACATTTTAAACAAAACAATAAAATAACATAAAAAAGGAAAAACACGTTATACATTTAAGCACTACAAAAAGCAAATATCCACTTACCCTATTTAGAAGTTCCTTCGTCTTTAGTCTGTGGCACACAAAATTCCTTAACAGCATCCAAAAACTTCCTAAAATTATCTGAACTCGAATCCATATATTGGCGTCGCCACATCTGAACCTTTCTTCCTACTAACCCATTCAAATTCATCTAAACGGTTTTTACGTTCAACTAGACGCTTATCTTTCCTACAAACAAAACACTTATAATGGCTACTAGGTAAACCTTCATTTACACACCAGTCAATTAACGCTCTTTTTCCTTTCATTTCAAGTTTGGCACGTTATAATCATCTTTGGTTTTGCACCAAAAACCTCCCCTCATTCACTCACTCACCCTTTCGTTCCAAACTGTACAGAAACTTCAAATTAATCTTACTGCATTCAGCCATTCCACTGTCTTAACAATAAAACCAACACACACCACAAAAGCGCTTACAAAACATCCCATGATTCACAATTCCCCAGAATCATGCAACCGATGACATCACAATAAGGTTTCCATAACATTCAACTACTCAGGCTACCATAAATGAAACAACAGCTTGGTAATAAATAAAACAACAACTTCGCCATAATACAAGGGGTACCTTAAAGTCTACTCTAACCGGAGATATGTTATTATAAAATATGTCATCTATTATCTGTACTTGTGTGTTGGCACAGTCTCCTTGGTGTACTTTATGTACTTTGGCAATTTTCTGTCGGAGGAGAAAACTGTAATTTAAAAAAAAAAAAAAAAAAAAAAAAAAAATTTTTTTTTTTTGCATACATACAAATTATTTCATATTTTACAATCTAATTATGTATTTTTATTGAAAAATCAATGAATAAACATACAAGCAGGATTTTTTTTCTTTTGGTTTGTAGAAATCTCATGATATTTGTCTTAAAAATAGATTCAAATACATTCAAAGTATAGATGCATTCAGCAATGAAATTTTGATGCCATGGCTATTCTGGTATATATGATTGCAGTTAATGTGAACTGTTTCTCCGAGTTTCTTATTATGTTATTTTGTGGATCCCCACATTCTTTCTGTCTGTTATGTATGTGTGCCAGTTTCTAGATAAGAGAGTTACATGCATGGTGTCAGAGCATATCATTGATTTGTCTGTAAAATCTTTTTGAATTAGGAATGCATATGAAATGCATATATGCATTTCATAAAGAGAATACATATGAAAATGGCAATACGGTTTTTTAAAATGGAAAAATTTGTTATGTGCATGCATGGTTTATTAAATTTTACTTGACATATAAATTAAAATACTTATGTTTGTATGTAAATAATTGCAAACTTCTTTGTTTCATACTACAGCTTGACCATTGATAGCCTTTCGATTCTGATAAAGTTTGTTGAATTGAAGAAAAATTGTGTGAATTTATCTTCATCACAAAATGCACATTGGAAAATTGGGTTCTTTTCTTCTTAATTTTTGTCTTGAAAAGAAAGCTGTTCACATAGAAATGTATTCCCAAACAAAATGGTTATTCTTAATGAAAAATTTGTAACTCATCATATTTTTTTGACAAATACAAATAAATATTAATCAAATCTGTATCTTTAAATCTTTGATTAAGATTTCTATCACTTTGTAAATTAATTAAATCCATTTTTTCTGGTATGTTATTCACATTCATTTTTAATGGTAATTGTGATAACATAAACTTGGACTTCAAATAAACTAAATTCATGAAATCTTTGGAACACTGTATTTGCAACAAATACATAATTGAAAAGTATTCACAGGCTGCATTAAATTGCCACAAGAGTTACATGCAACTCTGGGGAATTTATATCACAAAGGCATCAAATTTATAGTGCTCAAGTAGTAATGATGAAAAAGTGATCAGTGATTTCTGTTATGCAATGGCAGTGTGTTTACCTTTATATTAAGATAATAATACTTTCAGTTTGTAGAAAATTTTTATGACTGGGCTGAATACACAATAATGCTTTGTTGGAAAAGGTAGGCTTTCTTGTTAGCTGTGGCCAAACTATATCTTGTCTAATATAGTTCTGAAGATCAAATAAAAAATTTGCAAAGAATAGTTAAAAAATTGTATAAGAGAAATACTTTTATCCATGCACCTGAAAGTTACAGATTTGTTTTCCTTTTTGAAGCAAATCTTTACATAGTTATGTATTAAATCAATGATTTACATCATTTGTAATTTAAAGTGGTGAGTCTTAACCTACTGTATCCTATGTCAATAAAAAGCAAAAGCTAATTTCTGATTATAATCACAATAAAATAATTTCAGTGTCTAGTTTAGAATTTTCTATGGAGTTATATAAAAATGAATGTGTATGTGCATACCAACAGGAGATATAAAGAAGTTTTTGTTTCAATACTTTGGGGTGCTTTTGATTCAATACATCTTGAAGACATTTCCTAGAAATCACTAACATGCTTTCTCATCAGAATTTGCCAGTAGGGTAAATTCTGTTGACAAAGCATGTTAGTGATGTTGGTGTGGTTGCATTGGTGAAACAGTTTAAAAAATGCTCTTCTAAGAGATTGTTATCTACTGCATAGAAAAGTCTGATTCATTCTTCTTCGTGCAACTGGCAGACTGACACTAAGTGGAATGAATTAAGACAAGGATATTTTCAACAAATTGAAGATTTGAAAAAGCCATGTTTCAAGAGACCTCACTGTTAGAATGGGCGTTCCAGAGTTTTCTTTTTAAAAACATTCATCTTTTGCTTCAGAAGCCTAGCAATATACTCCTGCATTAGGATAGAGCTTTTAAGACTATTAGAATATTTTACCTGAATTACACTGATCGACACTGAAAATGCATCACCAAGAAGAAGTGGTCAGAAATTTATGCAAATTTTAGAGTAGATGCGCATCTATGAGTTATGCGAATGATGTGAAATGTGCAGCTCTCCGACACACGTGAAGCAAGATATCAGGGAAAGAACGTGCAGAATGGGCAATATTCATGTTGTTATTTCTGCCAGACGAATTATCGAAGAAAATTGTTTTTTGTTCGGAGGATACATGTAATAGGAGAGAATGGCCAGGCTGCCCTCAATGAAGGCACTTCCAGCAGATAGACGATTTTACGAGGGGTATGGTGATTGAACTGAGAAGGGCGGGCTTCCTTGCGTCAAATCGCAGCTGATACCCACATGGATGTGAGCATGGTGCATCGGATATGGCAAACATGGTTGGATAAAAGAAATGTGGGAAGAAGGAGGGGTTGCAGGTGCAGCCAGAATGACATCAGCATGCATGGATCGACGCATCCGCCGATAAGCTGTGGGGGTCCCGCAAGTCACTTGTACTGCGATTCTGAACCATGTGCAACATACTCTGGATGTTCCCGTGTCAACCAGAACCATTTCCCATCAATTGGTTGAACGTGGCCTGCACTCACGGCATCCGTTAAGAAGACTGCCATTGACCCTACAGCATAGATGCCAATGAACGCTCCACCGTGCGACAACTTTCATAATAGTTTGGGGCGCTATTGCCTACGATTCCAGGTCACTCTAGTTCGTATTCAGGGCACTATGACGGCCCAACGATACTTGGATAATGTACTGTGGCCAGTGGCAATCTCCTACCTTTAGAGGCTGCCTAATGCAATTTTCCAGCAGGATAACCCCCGACCACACTGTGCTCGCATCTGCCAACATGCTCTGCAAGGTATACAGATGCTTCCCTGGCCACCGTTTTCTCCTGACCTGTCACCAATCGAACATACCAGAACCCAACTACGAAGACTCCAGAACGAGATTAAATCAGACATCAAAAGGTATTCTGATGATAAATTCAATAACTACCTTAAGTCCTTAAAGACTACGAATAACAGCCTCTGGGAAGCTGGCGCTCGGCTACGCAAACCAAAATCTGACATTCCCTCCCTAATGGGCACGGTTAATACCCGAATGGCAATCATAGACACAGACAAGGCTGAATGCCTTGCAGACAGGCTACAGAAAAAATTTTCACCTAATACTGGACTTCTGTTCGATACCTGCACTCTGCATGGGCGAGAAGTCCAAATACAGGTTGACAATTTTCTAGCCTCAGCTCCTGAATCAGGAGAACCCATAAAAACAACAATGTCTGAAATAGCGTATGTTATACGTGATTTAACCCCCAAAAGCACCAGGTCTGGATAACATCAATAATCGCATGATTAAAAATCTCTCTGTTAAATTTATATTTTACCTAACATTCTTGTTCAACACTATGCTAAGGCTAAAATACTATCCTAATAGCTGGAAGAATGCTTGCATCATTCCAATTCTAAAACCTGCTTCAGACCCAAAAGTTCCTCAAAATTACAGGCGGATCAGCCTCCTGCCTTCACTAAGTAAACTTTACGAAACTATATTGCTTAGACACCTGAAAGATTTCTGCCGAAACTGAAATATCATTATTCCATAGCAGTTCGGATTTTGTGCTAAGCACTCCACTCAGGCCCAGCTGCCGAGAGTAGTGGAAATCATTCATGCAGGTGCTCGCAATGGAATGCCGACAGCAATTGTCTATTTAGACGTAGCTAAAGCATTCGACAAGTGTTGGCATATCGGCATTATTTACAAGCTCATGCGACTTGCTTTTTCGACTGACTTTGTGCGACTAATGCACTCTTATCTAAGTAATAGACATTTTTGTGTGCACAGATTTTTTGATTGCATTTTTGATGCACAAGTCAAAAATTATCTCTCTTCCCCTGGTCCTATCCTGGCCGGTGTCCTGCAGGGAGGAATAATTAGCACATATTTATTCAACCTGTATGTTAATGACATCCCACAATTACCTACTGTCGATCTCGCACTTTATGCAGACGACACTGCCATTATTTCACAACACTCAACTCTCCATCATACATTGCATCATCTCCAGCAATACCTGTCAGATTTAGAGTTCTAGCTCGTTGACTGGAAAATCAAAATTAATGTTGCAAAGAGTGCTGCCACAGTTTTCTTCTCCAGAAAAAGGAACATTCACAGCCAACTCCAACCACTCAATTTCTACAATGAAAATGTACCTTGAGTGGATTACTACAAATATCTCGGAGTTTATTTGGATACGAAGCTCATCTGGGGCGTCCATATCTCATATGCCATTTCAAAAGTAAAGACTACCAAAACCCAGCTAATGCAACTAATCTCCAGAACCAGCCACCTCTACCTCCGGAACAAAGTCCTTCTGTATACCAGCACCATCATGCCAATCCTCACATATGCAGCTCCCATCTGGGCCACAGCAGCCAACTCTCATCTGAAGAAGATTCAAGTTTTTCAAAACGTCACGCTTTGCATCCTTACTAATGCTCACTGGTACATTTGTAATGAAGTACTCCATTCTGACCTAAAAATTCCTCCCCTTGATGCTTTTTTCAAGCATGTTTCGGATAAATTTTTTCAACACATTGAACAGATTAGAACCCAGTTTTGCATGCCATTCCTGCTTACAATCCGGCAGAACCCAGTTCTGCCAAGAGACTTAGGGCTGTTATGGACAGATCTTATAACATCTTCCCTAGAAAGCCTAAAAGGGTTTGCCTGCTTGACCGGGGAAACTAATCTGAATTAAATATCAGTACTTCATGGGCCTAACCCGGCTACTCTTAATTGTTCTCACCCCCAGACCTAATCTGGCTTCGTTTCTCGCAAGTACATCCCCGTGCTGCTCTTTAATATTTATACCCGCCCTTGCCAAGACCTTTACTACCAGACTTCATCATTTTTAAAATATTTTTACTTTAAATAAAATTAAATTAATTATCTAAGCTCCTAAAATATTGATCTCAGATTAAGACTTTAAAAACCACACGCACTGCTGTCTTTTACAACACTAAGCTACACTCAAAAATCAAATCACAATTTAATTTGCAAAACATGCATAACTTCGCCTGCACTTAAAATTCACCCATCGGTTCTTCGCCACTCTAAGTCTACTCCAGTTATTCCGCCAGTTAACTTTAATTCTATCTCTCCGCAACCGCGCTTTATTGACTCTTTCTCCTTCTTTGGTCAGTGACCCCCGTTTACCCCTGCCCCGACCATCCCAAGGCTTTTAGCTAAATGCTTGAATACAGTATCTTACCTTTCCGGAGGACCGGTTCAAAACTCAAACGTGCCTCACGCCATCAGCTGTTTTGTCTCCATGGCAACCATCCACACACTTTGCATCCCGGTTGCCTTCTCTTTTGTTATCGAACGCAAGCAGTTGACTCACGACGGGGGGCTAAACGCCTTCAATTGTGATAAACTCTTGTACTCTCCTCCTGTGTTCTAACATGAGGACTCTTAGCGATTCTTGATTTTTTAGCTTATCTGCTCTTTCATCAACTTTAGTGACTGCTTCTCTCTTATTTAATTCATTTCTCTGAACGAAGATGTGGAGGTAATTGCAATTAATTGCAAAGGTACTTCGTAATTCAAACGCCTTGGTCCTTGGTCCAATCGAACATGTGTGGGATGTGATTGGATGCCGTTTGCAGACTCTGCTCTTGCCTCGTTCAAAAGACAAACTGTGGCAAATGGTTGAAAGGGAATGGAGAGTCATCCCTCAGGACACCATCCTAACTCTAATTGACTCTATGCCTAGACGAGTTTCTTCGTGCATCGCTGTCCGCGGTGGTCCTACATTTTACTGAGCCGACGCCATTCTCGCTCTGTATTCTGACTATCATTTTGAAATAAAGATCACTTATTGTTGCTTGCTATCTCTGTCTTTTTTTCCAAATTTCATCACTTTCTGACTATTCCTTCTTGGTGTTGCATTATTAGTGTTGAGCAGTGTACATTAACAGCTACTAAAATGTATCTATTATTCTGGTTTTTATCCTTTATAAGCCCCCTTCTTCCAACTAAAAGAAGTTGTATACTGGATCAGTTTGAGTGCATTTTGGTCACAGCAATATCATCAATAGTTTGAATTTTGTGGTTATCGTATTAATTGCATTGCAAATCACATTCTTTATATCAGATCGTTTAAAACATAATGCATTTAATATATGTGATAAGCTCTATCATTTGGAAATTTTGATCATCTTTATAATACTGCATTTATAAATCAGCAATTTGTAACTGCTGTAAGCAAATTTCTATTTTAAAGTCTGCTACTTTTCAGTATCAGTTATTTTGCAGTAAAAAAAGTTTAAGATTTTTGATACAATTAAAAGCGAGTTTTAGTAACTATTCTAACTAGGTAACCATCTATGCTTTTCTTTCAATTCCAAAACTTAGAAGTAATTACAGTACAAAGTACGTAATCCGGACGTCCATTATCCGGAGTGATTTATAATCCGGACCTCAAAGCCACAAACTTTACACATGTGTGTACATTACGCATAAAGAATGCACATACATTACACATGTGCGTAATGTATGCTTTATGCATGCATGCATTTAAAGAAATGTTTAATAAAGTAAACAAATAAATATTAAGCTTCTTTTTTTTTTTTTTGTAAAATTTTATTCCCTTTAGATCATAATTGCTCTTTATTTCATAAATTATGGTTTCATATTTTTAATTGTATAATTTCTGCATGCCATCTTACCAGATTTAAATTGATGATCTATAATCTGGAAAAATCCCTAATCTGGAATCGCCGAAGTCCTGACGAGTCCGAATTATGGACTTTGTACTGTAATTACTTGATTTTGTTCACTATTGTTATAATGTGTTACTTATTTGCTTTAAATATTATATTTTTTATAGTACATTTTCTAATATAAGCTGTGATAATCTCCTGCTTACCTGCTTACAGGTGGAAGATCTGATTAAACTTCAAAATGTTTCATCTGATGACTCAGTTACTAGTGAGCATTCAGAACATCTAAAAGAAGTCAAGAGTAGTTTAGAAGAGCAATTATATAAATATGAAAGTCGGATTGCCGCATACCAGCACAATCAGTCAAATCAAGCCAGAATTGTTAATGATCTTCAGAATCATGTAGGTGTATTTTCTAAATTTCTTTAACAAATGTAATTAATTTGTGTATTGTTAGTGGGAGATGTGTCTAATGTCTTGGATCATTTTGTTACTGGTGCATGAGAGTTTTTGTAGGAAAGCCGTTAGAGAAATTTCTGTCTGAATGAAATTTAGATATTTGGTTACAAACTCCTTATTGTGAAGAAAATTTATGTGTACTAACCCTTTAGCTCTAAAATTGGCACTTTGTTACTAGTTACTCTAATACACTTCTAAGCAGCTATTTCTAATAATTAAAATTTTAATTTTACTATAGGAATTTTTATTAATGTTTTTAATTTAATGCTGCATAATTTTCTCCCAGGGTTGATTGTATAAACCACCACTTTATGAAAGATAGCTAGGGGACAAATATATTTGTTCAGTGATATTTAAAAACCTACTGAAGCTTTTAAAAACGAATTATTTTTTATAATTCTCTTTTGCATAATATGCCATTCATTACTTTCTTTAGAAGGGTTTCCATGTCTTCATATCATTGTGTTGCTATCGTCATTTGTGCGAATTAAATTCTATAATAGTTTGTTATAATTTAATGCAGAGTATTGCTATGCCAATGAAACTATAATAAAAGTTGTATGCATTTCTATAATGATATCAGTGCAGTTGTGGGTATATTGTTGAAGAAAAACTGAAATGAAATTTGATATATAACAAGAAATAAAAATCTCAACACTTAGAAGTTTGGCTAGATGAATGAATTTCTGATAATGGGCTTTAATCTGTGTGATGTGTTGAATTCATATAAATAACAATGTTGCAGATCATAATTTTGAATTTTCTTTACATTAATAATAGTTGTAATCACTGGATGTTGAATGCAGGCATACATGTGTACATGTATGCAGTTGTAGAGGTGTGGGATGTCACTGTGTGGTATGGAATTCCACTCTTAGGTAATTAAATGGGCCATTGTCATTGCTGGCTGGGGATGAGCATGAACATGTCCAGAATGCCCCTTACATGCATTTAGCAGGCAAGAGATGGAGGTCATCACTAACTAAAGCAACATGTTAACACTCTGAAGAACATATTGGTCAGCTGCAGTAGAGAGGCCAGTATTGTCTTGTTGAAATAACCTGCTTTGAATACCATTCATGAATAGCTGCACATTGGGCTGAGTTATCATTCTGATTCAAAGCTTATTTCCATTGTTTTGATAATAATAGTATGAAATATTATAATAAATCCCTTCCTTCACTATAATTCTTTAGTAAGCAGAAGGAAAAGTTTCGGTTCTATCTTGAGCATCACATGATTTGCATGACAACTATAGTTTTGAAGTTATATTATCTTGTGGTACATTTTTCTTTTCTTGCATTCGTATAAAATTTTCTGGTATTGATTTTATTTATTAATCTCCCTTCCCTTGCTTGAAAGAATTACGTGCAATAAAAATAAACGCAAAGTGCTTCTTTGTAGCAATACAGTATTCACAAATAAATGTTCAAAATTGTGACCACCAGAAGTAATACTTGCTTGGTAACGTCGCAGAAGGGATTGACGAACATTTTGAAAAATGACAGGCATTTCACGCTCGCTTGCAGCCGCAATGGATAGTCGTGCAACGGGAGTATCATAAATGATGCTCTTCAGATGGCCCCATTAAAAAAATACAAGCTGGTTAAATCAGGCGAATGGCGGTGGCCATCGAACGGGTCCACCACGGCCAAATTCATCGGCCCAGAAATGTCCCATTCCAAGTAATTGCGAACCCACACGTGGTTATGGGCTGGTGCACCATCATGCTCGAACCACATGTGATTATGAACGACAGCCGGAACATTTTGCAGCAATTCCGGTAGCACTTTTTGCAGAAAAATATGATAACATAAGCCGTGCAGGTAAGAGGTAGTCGTTAACAATACCTGCCCCCACATTCACCGGAGAAGCGGGTTTGAAATGCATGTGGATGTGTGCTGTGTGGATTATGAGTTGCCCACATGTGCATGTTGTGGCTATTGAAGATGCCGTCCTGTGAAAAAGTTGCCTTGTCCATGAATAGCATATCTGATGGGAAATCTGCCCGCGCCGCACACTGCTGCAAGAACCAATGAAAGAAATTAACTCAAAGAGGCCAATCTGTCTCTTGCAAGGCTTGGACTCTCTGCAAATGGTATGGGTGCAAACAATTTTCATGCAATACTCTCCAAACGGTGGAATGACTCAGCTGCAGACAACATGCAATAGCTCTTGTACTTGTCTGAGGTGATTCATGCACAATGCTTGAACATGGATTCTTCAATGCAAGGTTGTCGTGCACTTCTTCTTCCACTCCTAGTGTCAGAGGTGGCTTCAAATGACCCGTTTTCACGCAGAGACGGATGCAACCTCTCGAACATTGTGTGCTTTGACATACGCCTGTTTGGAAACCATTCCTGGTACAACCGTAGCGCTGCTCTGCCATTCCCATTAGCAGCACCATACATGAGATGCATGCCAGCTTTTTTCCTGTGCGTAAACTAGCACATCACCCTCGACATCAGAGCTGTGAATGATCCTCTTATGCATCAGATCGGGATTTGTCCGGTTCACTAACGCGCTCTACCGCTGCATTGCCAGCCAATCACAGCTGTTGATTTTGTACATAAACACATTTTCCTCTCGTGTCGTTTTTTTGCATTCCTGCCTTAACCCATCACTTTAGACCCTACATTCCTATACAAACAATGCATGTTTTAGTATACTCCACCACTCCTCCAAGTTTGTCCCATGATTTATGAAACACCCTGTATAAACCCTGCTGGTACGTGGAGAGTCAGTGTGAGATACTTAGTCAATCCGTGTGGAGTTGATCAAGTTGACAGCCGTGCAGCAAGTGCATCGAAGAGTCTCTTAGTGTATTGCGGTTAGTGCATTGTCAAGAGAGTTCTGGGAATGACTGAACCGAAGAGTCGTGAGCCGTGCTCTGTGTGTTATCGACTGCATCGTGAGTTGTAGCGTGGAGAGTCAAGAGTACGTAGAGTTCCGAGAACGACCAAGGAAAGTCGGGAGCTGTACTCTAGTGCTTTGCCATGAAGTTGTTTTCACGATAGCCTGAAGACTGTGTCGCTGATTGTTCCAGCGTGTTTATTGTAGATCTTCGACGATGGTAAAAGTGTTTTGGAGCTGTCCTCATTATTATTGGTAAATAAATGTGTTTCGATATTTCATCAAGCAGTGTTGTCCTTATTCACTCCAAGTCTGCACGAACCCAATAACGTCCGAACGTAAAGGAAAAGAGAATAACACAACAACTGGTGTCAGAAATGGGATTTGCAAGTGAATGCTAGTGACCCGACGGCAGAAAAAAGCCATGGCAGAGGAAACGAAGACTTTGATGGACTTCTTTAACTGAGATCAAAGCGTGGTGAGAAGAGATGAAAGCCAGATATGCTGAGATAAAAGCTGGATATAAAGAGATGAGAACTGAGATCAAAGCCGGACTGAGAGATGAAAGCCGGACTTGAAGAGAAGAAAGCCTGACTAGAAGAAATAAATGTCAGCCAAGAAAAGATGCGAGAGCAACTCGAACAGCTGAAAATGAGCTTGCAGAAGAAACTGGAGCCATAAAAGAAGATGTGGAAATGACAGAAGTGGCACCTGAAGAATCAGAGGATGAAGAGATGAAGGAAGTAGCTGTTGAAGTATCCAAGAAAGCTAATGAAATATAGGATGAAACATCTTACGAGATTAAAGAAAGAGAACTTAAAGATGAAGAAAAAGATAGGAAAAACACTTCTCATCCCCAGGTGTCCGAAGTTGAACTGGAAGACAGTGATAATAAAGATGAATTAAACGAAGTGGGTTGTAAAGCTTCTGCAAGAGGTGAAAATATGAAGAAATATAAAGACGGGAAGGATGATTTCCTGATTCTTCAAGTGCCTGAAGTAGAGATAGGAGAAAGTGAAAATGCGACAGTTAAGTTAAATGAAATTGATAGTGAAATTACGAAGTCGCAGTTAGCAAGAGTTGAACCATCTGAAAGTGCATGTGATGCAGAGATGGGAGAAGCTGATGTGCAGCTAAAGCAATGCACTCCAGTATTGCAAGAGAATTCACCCACTTCACAAACTGGGTGTGTGCCTCATAGTGCAGGTTTTGCAGACAAGGATTTGATTCTAAACCTGGATACTTCTGCTTGTAAAAGATCGGATTCTATTCATGACCCTGGTGTAAACATCGGAATTGACTTTCAGGAAATAGAGGTAAATAAGCATGTACGATCTGCTAAAAATACCAAGGGGAACTGTAAGCATGTTGTGATTGAACTACAGAGTAGTAAACAAACTGTCTCAGATCTTCCTATGGATGACAAGTCTGAAAGGACTGAATCTTCAGACTGTGATTTGCAAAACAAAAATACATCTGAGAACTGCAGTGGAAAAGTATTTGACCCGGGTATATTTTAATGAAAAGACAGAAACTGAAATTCTTTCTGAACTTTAATTTGTATAATTTAAAATTGTTATGTGTTTAATTTGTGTATCTAACTTGTATATAGTGTAAATATTTGTTTCTTTAGTTATGTTACTCTGTTTGTTTTATTGCGTTTTGATTGTCTATCGGAATTTGGCTTCTGACCAAGGGTTATACTGTCCAGAACGTGCAGTCCTTGGGAGGGGGCAGTGTTACAAAATGTACAGGTACGGTGAGATAGCTTCCCCACGAAGCAGGTTTAGGGTTGCCATAAAATGGCAATGGAAGGTAGGGTTGTCACATTTGGGGAGAAATCGCCCGTTTGACTACAAAATTGGCGATATGCCATGGACGGATGGAGAACCTTCTGGAACGAATTCTTACCAGTTTAGCACAGAATGTTCTCGAACACAAGCCAAAAACTATATAAACCCTGTTGGTACATGAAGAGTTAGTGCGAGATAGTTTCGAGTTAGTCAGTACGTGCGTAGTCGATCCAGCTGACAGCCGGGCAGCAAGTGCCGAGTGGGTCATCGAGTGCATCAAAGAGTCTCTTAGTGTAT